AACAGTCCTCCCTGGCCTATCTTCTATTTCTGTTTACAACTGCTGAACCGCTAACCAAATTTAGCCAATCATCCTGATTCTTGCATGGTTGTCCCTCCGCTTATATAGCAGAATTGCTGAGATCATAGTCAAGCAGTTGGTCTCTCTTAAATCCAGTAGGTGAGTAACGTATACTGAAAAATGCGTACTTCCTATGAAAGGGTAGATTTTACCCAAGTTCTCAGGCAGTTTTGAGCAATAAGAACTAAATACTGTTCTAATTCTTTTTAATACCTTGGAAACAGAAAACAGCAGAACTTTGCACACCGCTCACAGACTGAACGTGCCCCTGGGGTTGTTTGTGTTTCACAAGAGATTAAACAATTTAGTTTGTGGGACAACTGGAGTGTAGGAATGTCAATAAGTGTGTTGCAGGAAAATGCTGATATGGAGTCAGGCACAAGCTTTCCTGTGTATGTGGCTTCTTTCTGCGTTTGTTGAGAGTTTGCTGAGATTCTTCTGGTCCCTACAGTGTTTTCATCTCTACATACATGTTGCAGATGGTGTTTCAGAGTGCTCTGCCACACTCGATGACAGCGTGAGCGAGGAGGAGGAGGGCAGCTTCGACGAGCTCACTGACGTGACACCCTACCTCCAGCCAGGGGTGGAGCTCTCTGTGCTCAGTGAGGTGAGGTTGAGGGAGGGAATCTTGTCACGTTGCAACACTTGCAAAGATCTCTTCCAAAAATGTGCTTCTAGTTTTTGACGCCGTACTTATCTTGCCACCCTGCTGGCTCACAAACAGCTGTGCACAAATGTTAATGTGCCCATTTCCAAGATGTCTGGCCTCAGTTCAGCAGAACACACAACCAGTGCTTGGTCCACAAGCCTATACATAATCTTACATGTTAGACATGGGTTTGGCCTGCATGTAATTGTATGTTTATCTTATCTGTTTGTGTGCTGCTCAGTGGATAAGCTCTGGCCACGCAGTTTATGCTGAGGCTCTCTGGGACCATGTGACCATGGAGGAGCAGGAGCTGGCCTTCAAGGCTGGAGATGTAATCCGTGTCTTGGAGGCCTCACATAAGGACTGGTGGTGGGGCAGGGGGGCCGACAGAGAGGCCTGGTTCCCCTCCAGCTTTGTGAGGGTAAGTGGACTTCCTGACCCGTGTGTCTGATTTGTGTTTGCTTTCTGGCAGCACAGAAAAGACTTTCAAACTGGCTTAGCTCCAAACAAACCCCAGCAGCCCTCTGAAGAAGGGGTGCGGCTGGTTTCTGTAGTGACCATACTTGATTGACAGTTGAGTGTTAATTAGGCAGGCGGTCACCATGGTGAGGTTCTTTGACAGGCAGGTGAGGATTGCTGTGTAGTTGCTTGTAGCTGAATCAATGTTGGTGAACAGGAGCTGGTTAAACTTGCACATGTTGTTACCTAAGTGATGTGGACAGATCTTAGATATAAAAGGTACTTAAACCTCAAAAGACTCTTGTGGCTTAAGTATCTATTGTTGTAATTATGCCACTTTGCATATGAGCTTTAACATTTTATTTTAAGTTTTGCAACTGGAAAAAGAAACCATTGGCTGAATATTTTTTGCGACTTGAAGTTAGGCTTTCCGATCATTCAGATGATGCTCAGGAGGTCCAATTGTGTCGGTGGTGAATGTGTTTCAGGTGCGTGTGAATCAGGAGCACTCGAGTGCTGAAAGTGTGGAGAGTGTAGCAGACCAGGAAGATCCAGCTCCCAGAGACACACACAGCTCTCAGCACAGGCAGCAGATGAGAACCAATGTGGTTCAAGAAATCATGAATACGGAGCGCATCTACATCAAACACCTGAAAGACATTTGTGAGGTAAGGGTTTCAAAGCAAAGCCGGTGGTTCTCAGACTTGTAGCACTCTAGCATACCCTAACTTCCAAATACAAAAGTTTACCTTCCACCCACCATCCAACAGCTTTCACCACTCAATAACAACAAAGACAAAATGGTCCAAGGTGTCTTGTTTTGTTTTAGATTTTTTCTTTTTTTTATGAAATAAAGGACGGCTTGATTGCATCAGCCTCACTCCACACACTGAAAACAGCTGGATTAAACTATGTTCCTCACATTGGCACTTAACTTGATCTAGAGATGATTTACATCTTGAATTCCAGTCAGTGTCAGCAGCATTTGTAATAAGCTTGTTTTCAAGAAATGCAAAATCCCTGATAATCAAACTCATGTTTCCAAGAATTTTAAATTCCACCTTCCAGCACCACCTGTTGGCCAGTATATGAACTGTTGTCATGTCATATTTTCTCTCAGTCCCAAACACTGATGCCGTTTATGTTTCAGGGTTATATCCGCCAGTGCCGGAAACACCCTGACATGTTCACCGAGCTGCAGCTGAAAACCATCTTCAGCAACATAGAAGACATCTACAAGTTTCAGAGGCAGTTCCTCCGAGAACTAGAAAAGAAGTACAACAAGGACCAGCCACACCTCAGTGAAATAGGCTCATGCTTTCTCCAGCAGGTAATGGCTGCACTTAATGCTGTTAATTAACTATGTTAACTCTGGTCTGAATGATTGATCATCATTTGTCTTTTTATTTTAAGGGGGAAGGCTTCTCCATACTCTACTCGGAGTACTGTAATACTCATCCCGCAGCCTGTGCTGAGCTGCAGCGGCTAATGAAGTTGGGAAAATATAAGCATTTCTTTGAGGCCTGTCGCCTCCTCCAGCAGATGATTGACATCTCTATTGCTGGTTTCTTACTCACACCTGTCCAGAAGATCTGTAAATACCCTCTGCAGCTAGGAGAACTGCTCAAGTACACGCCCAAAGACCACAGGTACTTTCAGGCACTGTTTAAAGACCTGTAGCATGCATTCCATAGTGTCGGCCGTAAACAAACTCCTTCAGTGTTGATTAATATATTCCAGAATAAAATGACTGTGCATCAGCTTACCAGGGATACCTTGGAAAAATCCAGAACCTCTTCTAATAGTTGTTAAACGTTTAACAAAGAGGGCGTCAGATGTTGTCTTTATGGGGGAAGGAGTTAAGTCACTAAATAAATTATGATTATATTTTATTTATTTGTTAGCTTCACTGTTAGCTCTGTCCATCCCACTACTTTACTGATTTCTTACTGTTCCATTAGTGAGATTGAAGCGATGTTTCACTGTTAATGGAAATGTGCTTTTCCATCTGCGGGCCCTGTTTTCACTGCTGTGTTGTCGATTTAATGCAGCGACCACAATGGAGTGAGCGAAGCATACGAGGCTATGAAGAATGTCGCCAGTCTAATCAATGAGAGGAAGAGACGGCTAGAGAGTATCGACACCATTGCTCACTGGCAGGTCGCCATATTGCACTGGGAGGTGAATATGTCCTCTAATCACATTTAATTCTGTTTCTAATTGTTCAGCCTAGTGTTGGATGTATGCTGCCTCAAATCTTTTGGCTGAATATATTTGGAAACATGTTGTCCCAGGGACCCGATGTGTTAGAGCGCAGCTCAGAGTTGATCCACTCTGGTGAGATGACTCGAATTGTCCGGCAAGGCAAAATGCAACAGCGCAGCTTCTTCCTGTTCGACCATCAGCTGGTCTACTGTAAAAAAGACGTGCTGCGCAGAGACCTGCTTCACTACCGTGGACGACTGGATATGGACCAGACTGAGGTGGTGGACGTGCCCGACGGACGGGACGCGGACCTGGGACTGACCCTGAAGAACGCTCTGCGCTTGCGCCACGCCTCCACTCTGGAGTTTATGTGTGCGCTTTGCTGCAGGAAGGCCGAGGACAAGCAGAGGTGGTTACAAGCGTTTGCCAAGGAGAGGCACAGAGTCAAGGAGGACCAGGAGATGGGTGAGTCGAGCCAAATTCCTTTCACTGAGGATACAAGCAGCCACTGTAGAGAGATGTCAAGTGAAAGGTGAACAGGGTAAAAAGATTTCTGAGTAAGTGGGTAGTAAATATTTTGGCCTGAAGGTGCGTTTGTGTGTGTCCCTTGGCAGGAATTGATATCAGCGAAGAGCAAAGGAGACGGGCGATTGTTAATGCCAGAAGGGCCAAACAGGGGAAGATCAAAAGTAAGGACAAAATATTTCTTCATTTTAAGCTGCTTTTGACTTTATATTCTAAAAAAAAATAATTTGTATAATTTGCTTTATGTACTCATTTGGGGGGTTTTTTTGGGTTTTTTTTTTTTTGCACCTTTTAGATGTTGGTTACTCTGGTTCTGTCCCCCCACACCCCCAAAACTTGCACCAAAACCTTCACCCACTTCACCAGCGTCACATCACCATCCCAACCAGCGTGCCTCAGCAGCAGGTCTTTTCACTGGCTGAACCTCCAAAGCGAAAGCCTCATCACCTGTTGTACAGCATCACCCGCAACGCCTTTTTCAGGAAATGAAGCTTGGCTTCCTTTGTTTCTTTCTCTGCATGTTCAGAGCCAAACCGTCCTGAAGTCTGAAAGAACGCCGTGTTTCTCCTGTAATCCTGTCTGTAAATGTCACGTTTTGTTTTTGTGCCTCGTGTGCGTCATAATGTTTGTGTTGAATGTTGAAACTCAGTGCCTAAAATCTGTAAAAGGGCATGACAAAAGTGTTAAAGTACTGACTGTCCATTTTATAGGTGTGTGTGTGTGTGGAACAATGCTGCTCATTCAGAAAACACCCATCCTGTTATCTCCTATTAATTCCAGCTTAAAGACTTTTTTACTTTAATTATGACAACGATTCATATTCTGCTTTCACATTGATAAACATGGGTTTTGTTATTTTACAAAGGCTGGACCCTTTTTTTGTGTGTGTGTGTGAGTGTGAGTCTGTCAGCTCTGAGCACAAAGCAGCCAGAGAGTAAATTAACTGACACGTTGACCTCCCCCATTAACATTGTGAATAAAAAACTTGTATAAAACTGCCTAATGAGACTTGTTTGTCGTGCAACTGCTTTCTCGTGATTACCAAGCAAAATGTTAGCATGTGCCTGGTGAACATTAGTGCGTGTGCATTTGATAGAAGGTATCGATGGAAGTTAATGAATGAAACATTAGCCATACGACTGGATAGTTCCCCGTTTCGCCGTTGCTCGTCTGTGGTCAAGGATCTGGTTTCAGACACCTGCCGACTGTGGAGCCAAACGGTGTGCTTTTTGGCTCTGTTCGAATCTGCTGTTTTCATGAACGGCTGTTCTTGTTCTAAAAGGCAGTGGGAATGGATCTGAAAGAACAAAAGTCAGAAAGTAGATGATTGCGGCTTGAAGGGATGCCTGTGTCATGGGCGCGCAGCACGATGAGAACAAGCAGACCAGTGGAGATGATGATCCATCTCGACAGGACTGTGCCAGTGTAAGTAAGCTGTATCGTTAACTTGGTAACAAATAGCTGTGTGTGTAGATTTGTGTAACCTTGATGCTTTTGTGTTGAGTTTTGCGCTTCAGCATAGCCGTGTCTCCAGACTCAAATCCTGGAAGATTTACTTTATTGACACATCTCAAAACTTTTTTTAAATCTCTCAGCTTATTTCACATTTAAATGTGCTTAAATGGATATTGATATTTTTACTACGTCTCTATGGTCTGCTAACTTGTGATGGAATATTTGCCAGTTGCACAGTATGGGATGACACTGAATGAATAATACATGTGCATTGGGTAACTCAATGAGCACTGAAGTTACATCTGATGGAGTTGGTACTGCTTTCAGACACTGGGTCACGAGCTAAGGTGCCAAGTAAACCAGCCTCGTTTTTAGCTGGCACATATTTGAATCACTGGTAGCAGATCAAATAGATTTTGAACCATGCATTATTCAGAACCTCTGTCACTCATGCACTTGGGATTGATTATTCAGCTTACTGTAATAGAAGAAAGTTGACCTGCAGATACAGTAAAGAGATAAGAGGAGGATGGTCTGCCCCGGAGAGCTGGCTTCACCCTCTTGTGCCCTTTTGTCCTGATCCTGAATCTTCATAGTGAACTGTTAATTGCTTTTGGTGTTCTTTTCCTATTATTTCAGCACCATTAAATCTATTCCCATAGTTTGCCCTTTTGTGCGATTGCTCTAAAGGGCAAGCAAAATGTGCTGTCCATGTGATATACAGCTTTGAATGGCCATGACCGTGTTCCCCTGTCTGGCTGTAGATTGCAGATGTGTCAGTGGAGGTGGCAACAGTGGACCACACGCTGCAGAAGCTGCGCAGGAAGTACAGGAAGACTAGACGGAAGCCCAAAGGACTCAAGAGGCTGTGGCTCCGTCTGCTGAACATCCCATACATAACTGTAATCATCACAGCAGTAGTGTTCGTCGTGGTGGTGATCATGTGGTCGCTGCTGTGGGTCTTTATTTGTAAGTGGAAGTATTCTTACACTTTTATTTAAAAAAGAAACAAACAAAACAAAAATGTTGCTCCTGAAAGATATTTAAAGGGACAGTTCACCACAGATTAAACTGTTTTCTCTTTGGGCCTCATCTGTAGTCAGGAAAGTGTGCGGCTGTCTCCCTGCTGCATTCATAATTTTAAGTAATTACAAAGAAATGACGAGTCTATAAATGTGTATTGGTTTATTTAACAGTGAAAAACTGATGCAAGAGCATTTTGGAGCAGTTACAAATGAACAATCATTTTAGTATTTGATTCCCCCAGTGACCCAAGTTTGGGTCAAAGGTTCATAAAAAAAAAACAACATGCTCAAAAATAAATGTAAGAAACTCAGCATCACTGTCTTTTTAAAAAAAAATCATGACTTGGTTTCTTAAAACTACAAGAAAAATTGAGTTTTGTTCCACTATATTTGAAGGATGACACAAATAATACAGTAAAAAGGAAGTACGCGCTCTTTCAATTTTAAGGTTTTACATATCAGGTTAAGTTAAACTAAATATAACCTCAGAGGAACTACATCAAACACATGCTACAGTGTGCTGGTATTCATTTAAGAAAAACTAAGCTAAAATGCAGGAGCTATATGTAAAAATTTAAGCACACCCCGTGGTTCAGCAGGCTGTATAACCACCTTTAGCAGCAATAACTTGAAGGAATCAATTTTCTGTATGGCTTTATCAGTCTCTCACACCACTGTGGAGGAAGTGGCCCACTCTTCTTTATAATGTTGCTTCAGTTTGCTGACTTTTGTTCAGGTGTTCTGCTTCTGTGCGTCCGATCATTGTCCTGTTGCATGAAGACTCTAAAACACTTACTACACAGATGAGTTCATGGTCAACTCGTTGACTGCAAGGTGCCCAAGTCCTGTGGCTTCAAAACAGGCCCAAATAATCAACCTTCCAGCACCACTGTGTTTAACAGATGCAATGACATGTTTGTGCTGATATGCTGCATTTTGTTTTCGCCAAACATGGTGCTGTGCATTATGAACAAACATCTCCAGTTTGCTCTCTGACCCTGGGCTAAATTTGCTGTGTCGTCCACTGCTGGGAAGACTGAAAACTGTCCTGGTTTCTCACTACAGAGAGATGCAATTCAAATTGTTTGGAAATGGCCAAACCCTTCCCAAGTTAATGGGCATCAGCAATTACTTCTTCAAGATCATCAGTGATGTCTTTCCTCCTTGTTAACACACACTTGCATTTTAATTTGTTTAAATAAATAATGACACTGTGCAATATGGCATATTTTATAATTCCTTTGAGGTTGGATAGATTTTAAGATTTGCTTAGGTCTGGATCATTTTTATTATTTGTTGATATGTAAAAAATTTCATGGTTTATTTATTTTTATTTTGTCATGAGTAGATCTCCAAAACTGGACAACTCACACTAAAACAATCTAGGTGACAACAGGCCAGAGGAAAAATGAGTAAATTAGATTTTGAGGTGAACTGTCCATTAAATATCTTTGCAAAGTTCAGTGTTTAGATGCTGTGCATAAACGTTTAGCTAATTTTATTGGCAGCATGTTATTAAAATGTATTATTGTAATATAGTAGCTCGAAGAGGGGAAAAAAGCTAAATTTGACCAGATTTCCTCAGTTCGCAGGGAAAGTAACAGTGGAGCATATTTCGCTGGGATGTTCCGTGTAGCCAATGTGGAGTTTATCCCAGAGTACCGGCAAGCAGAGTCGCATGAGTTTGTGTCCATGGCAAATAAAATCCAGCACGTGGTAGGTGTCAGTGTAACCCTGCTGGTGAACTGCTGGTCTGTACTAATCTGCTGTTAATTATTGGTGTCATTATTGGTGTCTTGCAGGTGAACAATGTGTACAAAATGTCCTCAGTTGCGAAACTCTACAAGCAAGCTGTCATTTCAGACCTCAGGTACTTTGGTGCTCCTTGTCATCATGAGCTAAAACCAAACAAAGCGGCTGTTTTTCATTTAGTTTTATGATTTTAAAGATGTTCTATCAATCTGTTTTCCTCCCCAAGTAACAACAACAAGGGTGGCGTGTTGGTGCATTTCTGGATGGCTTTTGTGGTCCCTCAACTGAAGAGCTCAGAGATGTGTGAGGAGTGCTTAGCAGCCATTTTCAGAGATTCAGTCCACACCAGCCTGAACAGGTCCTCTGTAGGCTACCTGCTGGGTCTTCCAGTTGACATAGACTCCATCCTCATCAATGGTGCATTTGTGTGTCTCACCTGTAGTCTAATGCATATTTATCACTCTGAACCTTAGAATAAACTGACTATTCTGCTCTCTTGCAGGTGTTCAGCGTTCAGATTATTCATCCAACACAGCAGGTAAGAACTAGTGAGGTGAATAACAAACATCCTGCATGTCTGCATTTTGTTTCCATGAGTTTTTTTCTCTCTCTCTCCTTCCAGACTCTCAGTGTGTAGATAAGATGTATGCCAACCTTCCTGGGGTGATGGTCCCTTTAAGCGTCTTCTCGTCATGGGGCGGTATAAATTGCCATGTAAAGCTCACTGCAGTCCCTGGCTCTCTGATCCGCCTCACCATCACCTCATTTGTTATTGAGCCCAGTGACTGCGTGAACGATGCCCTCACTGTGTATGACGCTCTGCTGCCCATGAGAGGGCGCATTCTGCACAGGCGAGTCTGCACCAGAGCACAAGTTTGATTTACAGTAAGATTCTCTAAAACAACACACAGAATTCCTGCAGATTTCTAAAGGTTTTTTTTAGTGGTATGATGATCAATACCACTAAGCCTTTCCAATATCACACCATTTCTGCTTTTTGAGCCTTCCTCAGATGGCCTTACATTAAAACACATCTGTTCTTACTGTGGCCAGAAGGTCCATCTTAGATTCATCAGTCCAGAGCAGGTTATTCCAGAGCATCTGACATTTACATATATATTCTAAGTATTTATAGGTATCATAAGTATTTTTAACTTCACTGACATACTCACAGCTACGTGGCACACGGCACGTTTTTTCGGATTGGTGACTACAATCCAGAGTTGCGCTGCAGCTCACGTACCTCTGCTCAGTCTTTTCAGGCATCCATCTTTTCAGAGGTTTAAATAAGTCGGTCCCCATGTTTCACTTAAAGAAGTCCCAGTCATTGGCACTTAGACTACCAAGAATATTTATACACTCATAAATACAAATTTCACATGTGCTGATCTACATTCTTTGTGCTGCAGCCTGTGTGAGCCGGTCTCCAGCGCCGTCTCCATCGTTTCTACCTCCAATTTCATGCTGCTGTCCTTCAGAATGACCAACGGGAATAAAAATTTCAGAGGATACTTTGAGGCAATCGCTGAGGAAGGTATGAGACATTTACCTGCTCTGTCTTATAAGCCAGTAGTTCTTGACAAACAAGTTTTCTGAAAGCAAAGCATCGACATGAAATTAATATTTTAGTGAATTGTGTAGGATTTTTTAAAAATATGTATAATAAGTCTGCTTCTAAAGAATGATTTCTCAATAATATAATGTTCCAGCACCCAGATTTATGTAACATCTAGCATTAGCTTGGGAAACTATAACCCTCAGGCCTCTCTCTGTCACTCTCAGTTTGTATGTCTCAAATTGAGAGCCAGTTGGAGCCTGGTATCAGAGATCGAATGTACAGCCCCTTCTACCCCAGCATGCTGCCCCCACAGTGCTCCTGTACCTGGAAGTTTAAGGTAGACAAACAAGTGACAAACAAGTGACACACGAACACACACACACACATTATTATTATTAGTTTTCGTTCATTGTGTGTTCTGTCATTTTATAACAGACCCAGAACTCCACTTTAGGAGTTGCACTGCGCTTCCACAACTATGTCCTGAAACTAAAGGACATGAATGGCTGTGACCAAGGCTGGTGGAAGGTCAATGAAGTCATGTACGTGGCTACACCTGCTCACACTGAATTCAAATAATAAGTTCCACTGCCTATTATTATTGGGTATTTTCAGTAGTCTACAGAGATGGATAGTCACCTCATGTACTAAATGTCCTGGATATTTTTAGACCATTCATTTGTCCACGACTATATTTGTCCCACATCCTGTGATGATTTTTCTTGATGCTTGTTTTCCTTCCACAGTTACTGTGGAAGCTACGTGGGACATGACACGGTTTTTCGTATTGCTGACTACAATCCAGATGTGGAGTTTCGCTGCAGCTCACGTACTTCTGCTCAGCCTTTCCAGGCATCTTATAGCAGCTACAGTATGAACCAGCGTAAGCACAGCATAACTCCAGCCTGACTCACTGTGACCGCTAGGATGGGGAGCAGGAAATGCGTGTCTCTGTGTATCTGTGTGCATGTGAATTTTGTTCATAAGTGGATTCTAAAAATTACAAAGTGAAAATGTTGGAAAATAAATATGGAAGTTCTTGTGAAAAAAAAAGATAATCTTTTACTGTAGCTCTTGAAACTCTTGTAGCTCTTTTGTTGTTAATTGTCACTGTATTGCAGCCCCAGAGAAGTTTATTGTGTTGTGTTATATTGAGCCAGTACAACAAAATGATAGAGATTTAGTTTTGTTTCTGTTTCTCTGCTCACCAGCCTGTCCAGAGAGCCATTTCTTGTGCAACACGGGACTGTGTGTGCAGAAGACTCGACTCTGCGATGGCCTGGATGATTGCCAGGATGAGAGTGACGAGGTCTTCTGCTGTAAGTTGTTTTCCAATTAACCATTTTTGATTTTGTTTTTTTAAACAATGGGAATGTTCGGCTTTCATTCCTTGTCTGTTTAAAATAGCATCGTGAATTCCTGTTGAAACGTTACACTGTTCTTGATGTCTGGCATGTGGTTTAAATGTGTTTATTTCCTTGAGAACTCAGTCCGCACTTTAAAAAATGATGCATATTTTCACAGCAAGGCCCACGATGAGCTGTGGTGCCAATAGTCCCCTGCATCCTCTGCTAGTATGCAATGGAGAGACAGACTGCACGGATGGAGTCGATGAACTCAACTGCACTCATGGTACGTGTCGTTTGCAACTTTATAAAATGAAACGTGCCTTTTAGCCACTAATAACTGAGACTTGTTTCATCAGAAACGACCTGCTCTGCAATCAGATATCAGTGCAAAAGCGGCTCCTGCATCCTGAAAAAGAACGCAAAGTGTGACGGACTCGATGACTGTCAGGATCGCAGTGATGAGGCCGACTGTTGTGAGTACTCCTCGATACGTGCCCTGTGTACACATCGTATTTTTGTAGCATGCAACAATTACAGTTTGCGCTCTTGTAGGTGACTCTACTCCCAACATGCTGTGTGATGTTGGGTTTGTATGAGACTACATTTGAACTCTTTCATAAACTGCATTCATTTTCAGTTTTTGTATAAATAGTTCATAATTATGCTCAAATATCTTCAAATTATTAAAAAAAAAAAAAAAAAGGTTGAATTGTTCTGTCCGGCTTTTTTTATTTTTAAAAAAATCAGAACATCCAGTTCTGCGAGGATGAAGCTGCAATCACGCTGCCAAGTAGGAAACGTTTTACACAATAAAGAGGTTTCCTACTCGGAAGGAAACCCCAACAGAGATTTTCTGATTTTAACTTCTTGTTAATTAAATTTGTTTGCGTTTTAGTAACATTATCACATCTAATACTGGAAATAGTAACAGTTTTGTGGTAGGAATTTGTTCCTGGATTATCCTTGGAGTGGCCACCTCAGTGCCTGAATAATAATAGTGTAATTAATAAGCTTAAAACGTTTTATACTTACCAGATTGAATTTCAGTGGCTTTTTATTCAGTTCACTTGAGTTTTAGAGCAGCAGCAGGAGCAGTACATGCTGAACTGTAGATGTAAGGCGCCTTTAAAATGCTGTTGGCTCCACCTTTTTATTACGGTATTTCCTCAGTTGTTTGCTTTGCTAACATCATAAGTGTTTGGCAAATAGATTCAGTGAAATAAAGCTGGTTCAAGCTGTAATCACAAATATTTGCTGAAATTATATTTGCTTACCCTCTGATGTATCTGATTTTAATGACTGTGATTATGCTGCCACCACACTGCCAGATCTTTGCCAGATCTTTCATGCAGTCTCATGAGAAAGCTGTCTTTTTTTCTAACCCTCTGGGCACTGAGCTGCAAACTTGCTGACCTGCAGCGCTGAGGTGACCCGTAGCTCTCTCTGTTTGCTGTTATTTTATCATGATGGGGTCTCAAGGTGGTGGGAACAGGTCTGCCTTTGATCACTCACTAACACTGAGCTTAGTACACACACACACACACACACACACACACACACACACACACACACACACACACACACACACACACACACACACA